ACTCCACAGACTGTCTTTTAAAAACAGCTTAGTCAAGCTTATTTTTAAAATACAGAAAGCAGCCTGAATTTTCTTTTGAAATTAAATTTATGTTTAAAGGTTACAAAAGCATAAAAGTTGCATTTATTAATGGGCTCTACCATGAGATGTTTTAATACGTATATGTATATGTGTCATGAAGTGTCTGCTTCAGGCTGGCATCATATTTAACACTAATTTGTAAACTCTGAGTTTTTTTTTTTTTTTATCACTTTGTCTCATCCACACAGATCTCCTGGGATCCATTTGACCTAGAAATTGTTGGTTTACCTGCAGTGCTAATTTTTTGTAAAATGTAAAATTTGAGCTGATATATTTCCTTGTGCCTCACTGATTATTTTCACATCAATAACGACCTGAGATATAATATCCAGTGATATCTTGAAATATAATTTTACTGATTCATGTCTGTGTTATAACTGTTAGTATGTACAAGTAGACATCTGTAAATCCTATTTATGTTAAACAGTTTAATTTAGTTATGCTGCAAAAAGATTTGAATTTTTGTCGTTTTGGTTATGGGTGCATAGGCAGTGGGAGTTGGGGGCTAATAACTATGATGTTAGTGAGCAGTATGGATTGCATCATTGCTGAGCTTAAATAGAGCTCCGCCTTTTCAGCAAGTCCACTGATGGTATGGTGGGACCTAGTTCTTATACTTAGGCTCTGTGCTAACAACGAAGAAAAATTTTTGTTTCACTATCAAAGCACTCAAGTATCTAAAGACAAAAATGCAATATGTTTGCTGCTCTAATAAATGTATGTTTACAATAGTAGGAAAATAGAAATGGATTACCTAAACCCACTGTAAGAGCGGGAGAAGATCTTATACAGGAGGTAGTGAAAGGAGTTTGAGGTGCTTTGCTGAATATGGAGAATAAGTCAGAAGGAAGTGTTCTCATAGAAGGAGTAGAACATGCAAAACTTAAGGAGTTTCCACCATGCAGGATGCTGTGGGTGGTTCAGTATTTCAGAAAAGTGTGAGCAAGGAGGTGGCAGGAGAACCCTTAAAAAGATTGCTAGGGTCAGAGTGGGAAGAATGTTGATGCCAAGATGGGATTAGAACTTAATGACCTAAAGTTTTTGAGAACTTCTGAGAGTCATCATTTGTGACTGTCATTGTCAGCTTTGTGTATCAGAAATATCATTCTGACAGTAGTATGGAGAAGGGAACAAATGAGAACACTACCTGGGCGAAGGAATTATGAGTGGACTATTGCAGGACATAGATGAGAAATAATAAATGCCTGAACCAGGGCAGACGCATGGACAGAGGAGCAGTGAGATGTCTTGAGGTAGCAGAATTGACTGTGGATTTGATGTGAGATGTTGGGGCTGGATAGAAAAAAAGAAGCAGAAGCCAGGCATGGTGGTGCATGCCTTTAATCTCATCACTCTGGGAGACCTAGAAAGCCTGGACCACTCAGCAATTTAGCAAGACCTTGTCTCAAAATGAAAAATAATAATAAAGACTGGGAATATGCTCAGTGTGAAGCCTCTGGGTTTATTCCCTAGTATGGGGTTGGGGAGAGGCAAAGATAGAGAGAGACAGAGACAGAGACAAAGGCAGGCATAGAGAGACAGAGACAGGAATCTAAGATAGCTTTGAGTTTTGTCTTGCATGATTAGCTGGAGGGCAATATTTTTTGCTTGGTTAATAGTTTTAGGAGTTAGAACATACATGTGGGTGTGTTGGGCTCAATTTTAACAGTAAATATAGGAAATGTGAGTGAATTTTCAGCTGCTATTGAGTATTAGATCCTGCAGCTAAGCTCTAGTCCAGGATGTTCTAACCAAATAACAGACTAAGTGACATAAAAACAGGAATTTATTGCTCATGGTTCTAGAGGCTGGGAAGTCCAAGATCAAGGTGTCTGCAGTTTAGTGTCTGTTGAGGGCTGTTTTCTACTTCACAGATGGTGGCTTCTGTCTGTGTTCTCCATGCAGGAGGATAAGCAAGCTCCCTCTGGCCTCCTTTACAATGAGGGTGAGTGCATCGTGACTTAATGGTCTCAGCATAGAAAGTGTGGGATAGAAACCACACTGTTAACCACAACAGCATGAATTTATAGGTGAGTTTGTAGGTGATAGTGAGGTAGGAGACAGGGCATGGCTTCGACTGGCTGGGAAGAGAAGCATGGCTGAATCCTAGAGTCTTTCCAGAACCATTTCTCCAGGTTCTATATGTGGAAGTTGTTATGGATTCCATTGAAGTGGGGATAGAATAAAACAATGCAGATACCACAAAGGGCAGGCTACTGTGACATTCCTCATGTTATCTTACCCTATGTCCCCCAGGCTGTACTTTTATTTTGGTTTTATTTTCAATTTTTCCTCTTTTGTTCCGTCCAAGTTTGATCTGCCAAGCCAGCTTCTTCTTTACCATTCACTTTTAATTTTTCAGATAAACCTTATTGGGCCAGGGATATAGTTCAGTGGCACAGTGTCTGCCTTGCAAGCGCAAGGTTCTGAGTTCCAAGAAAATGCCCCCAAAACAAAAACAAAAACAAAAACAAAAACAAAATAAACCTTGTCATCATCTTGCTTGTTTCACTCGATTCTTTGTTCAGGAGGAAAGGAGCCTAGAAATCAAGACACGGGCACCTTCAAACCTGGTAACATACCTTTGGTGAGCTATTTCTAGAAGGAGACTACCCGGCAAACATAGCTGAAGTTGTGCATATAGGTGAAATTTTCCAGAAGTGTGGAGCAAGAGTAAGAGGCAAAAGGGCAAGTTTGAGGTACATCAAAATTCAAGAAGAGAACAGGGGCAAAGAATCCTACAAACAGAACTGAAAAGGGGCCAATAGAGATGAAGAGGACAAAAGCAGCCAGCAGCAAAGAAATGAAGACGGTCTTATTTTTCAACTGCCCTGAAAACACCAGCACATTACATTAAAAAAGCTTCAGCTATGGCCCACACATCCCCTAAGGTTTCTTCCTTCTAGTCCTCTCCTCTTGGAATCACCTCCCCAATCTCTGCTTAAATCACAACTCTCCTATGATGTCAGTCCCTGTCACCAAAGACACACCGGATATTTACGCCTGCATCATCAGCAGTGCGAACCAGAAATTCACTTTGAAATTACATGACCCCATTCTGTTTGCCTAAACCAGAGAGTGCGTTCTATTTTTTACTTTTATTAGTACACGCTTGCAGCGTATAATGATTACATTCCTCATGCGGAGTTGGTGCATGGATGCAGAACATCCTAATCCTTCAGGCATCCGTCTCCTTTCCCCTCCCGCTCTCCTCCATCTCTTGGTCCTCTTTCTATTTGTGAATGATCAATCAGCCTATTTCCTATTATCTGTCTTTTATTTTTCTCTTTAATTTATTTATACTTGGGTTCCTCATGTAAAAGAAAGCATGTGATATTTAAGGTTGTGTGTCTGATTTATTTCTCTTATCCTTAGGGTCTCAGATGCATCTTTTTTTCCTACAAACGAATCAAATTTTTGTCTTTATACAAAAGTAGCACTCCATTCTGTGTAAATAACACATTTTCTTTATCTATTCATCTACTGATGGACCTCTAGGCCTCTTCCAAGATTTGGCTATTATGAGGGTTGCTCTATAAACATGTGTGCCTTATCTGTGGTAGGTGTATCAGACCAGTTCTACTGGAAGCAGAGTGCAAGCCAGGGGTTAAGGTGCATGTGATTCTCAAGGAAATGCTCTTCCTAAACAACTCAGAAGTGTGTAGAGGAAGCGCAATATGACCTCATGAAGTCTGGTCTTGGCTGGATCCACAGGATGTAGGGTGAGCACACTGATTGCATCACGAAGGCTTCCTCTCTAGAGGGAAGGATGTTTGTCTTTCATGTTTCTGAATCAGCCAAGGGCAACTCTCAGGGGCAAGGTCACAGATGGAAGCCATTAGTCCAGCGCTGGCAGCAGGTAGGGAAAGAATATGACAGCTTATAAAAGGATGCCAACAGTATCTAGCACAGCAGGCATAATCTGAAGAGTACAACTGGGGGCTACAGGACTGCTTCCGTCTACTTGCTAGGCACCCACGTCCCTCCACTCACCTGAACCTGAGCAGTGCCCCAGGATCGATCCTCCAGCCTGCCCCAGGGTGTACCACGAGAGATAAGGGAACTAGAACCCAAGCCTGCCTCAGAAAATTTTGAAAATTACAAACCAAGATGCAGGCATACTACACCTTCCTGCACGTTGTAAAGTAGCATTTTTCCCCCTGGCAACTGATGGAAAATTCACGTGCCTCGTAGTACATATGATTACAACAGAGTGAATTATGGGAAAGGAAGTGCGCGATGGATGCAGCCCTGGACTCTGTAACAGGAATTAGTGAGAGGAGGTTAGAGTTCTGCTAGGCAGTAAGGACAGCAGCAGGAAGGAGTTAGGAAGGCCGAATTGGAGTCTGCTGAGTCACAGCCCTTCGGGGATCTTATAAAAACATTTGCCAGGTATCCTGAGGCTGTCCAGGACCTTCCCAGATCATGATTGGTGCCCTTGGCTTAATGGCACGTGGGCCCTGCACGGACACTGTGAACACTGCATAAAGGGACCCTAAAAGGGATGCAGTCTCCTGGAGTGTGGAGATTATATTGCATATCCAACAGCCTGGGCTCCTTTGTGAACCCCTTAAAAACCTCTAGACAGAGCACTCAACTCGGACCTTATTCTGGCCAGCAGGAGCTCTACTGCTTTACCTTCACATCTTTTACTTTCTTGTCTTTAGAATCTTTAAAGAAATTTGCCTATGCCCCACCACCTCTGAGGTTTCCTTCTTTATTACTGCAGGATACAACCTCAGGGTTCTGGCCATAGCATGACTCAGCACGCTGTCAATCATGCTTTGCAGGGTCCGTCCCCCACCCTGAGGGGGAGGGGCCTTAAAGCTCCGGACCTTAAAACCGGCACCCTACAAGCTCTGGGTTCCTGCTCAGGGTACCTTCCCTTTAATAAATCTTGCTGCTGTGTCCTTGACACTGTGTGCTTTGTCTGACTGGGCCACGCAGGCCCCAAACTTGTCCTGGACTCCATAGCACAAGGTATCAGCAAGCATTTGGAAGTTTGGTGATAGTTTTATTTATATTTATTGCTTAATGTGTGTGTGTGTGTGTGTGTGACTGTTTTAAATGTCCTGCACTCTAACTCTTTTGGTTTGAGTCTATGGTAAAGAAAAATACTCTCTCCATCTCTCTTTTTCTTTCTATCTCTTCCCCTTCATCTCCAATCCTTTTTTTTTTTTGGTTGAATGAAACTGCTTGTATTTATTCTCCTGAAGAAAATAACAAAAGTTTAAAGAAGCAAAGGGGCATTAGCCCAAATTCAAACACCTTAGAACCAGCCTGTTAACATCGCAGCATATTTTCTTCAAATCTTTTTAAAGTTAAGCTCACCCGTACCCTGGGTGATGGGATCCCGGACTGGGTCCTAGGGTCTTGTGTGTGACAAAGGATTGGATGTGGAACATGAGGAAATGGCAGCAAAGTGAAGGGAGGTAACGATAAATTACGATGAGCAGGCTTGTGTCACTGGAAGGAAAAAGGCGCGAGTACTGAGGGGACAAGATGTAGCGATTTAAAATGTAGTACCCTGTCCAGGCCACTCTGAACGTGATTGACAGGTGCTGAGTTACTTCTGCTGAGTCTATTGCGCGTGCCCCTTCCCATAATGCACTCTGTTATAATTGGATGAATGAGATGAAGTTCATATATGTGAACCTTCTATGTGCTCCATGGGAAGAAAGGTTTCTGCAGGTCGTGCAAGAGGTCTTGGTTTGGAATTTTGGAATCTTCCAGAGCAAGCTCCGGGGTCTTTGCTTTTCTTATCTTTCCCCCTGGGTAGTAGACCTTGGGATGAGGATTGAGGGTTGGCCTTGGGGTATTGCCCAGCAACTGGTGAGTGGAAAGAGTGGTCCATAACCGCAACTGCACTATCTGGATTAGTCATTCTTAAACTAAATAAAAAGTCATTTTGCTTCTTTTGCTATCATTAAATTTAATTTAGATAGTTTTATGGAGTGATTAAATTATAAATTATTATTACCATTTCTTTAATTTTAGCCTTTAAAATTTTCCTACATTTTTATTTTTTTGTACTGGAGATTGAATCCAGGACCTTTGTGCAGAGCTGCATCCCCTTACATTCTGACCTTTTCACATTTTTTTTTCTTTTTTTAAACAGAATCTCACTGAATTACTAAGATGCCTAGGCTGGATTCAGACTTGTGATCCTTCTGCCTCCAACTCCCAGAGTGTTTAAAATGACATGCGTATACCATTGCTCTGGTTTACTTTTTCACTTTTATATAAAAAAAATTTCAGTAACTTGCATACAATAGCTCCTTCACACTTTAGATTATTTTCTTAGACTGTATTTCTAAAGCTAGAATTATTGGGATAAAAGACATTAAATTTTAGAGTTCTTGGTAAATGTTGACTTTTTTTGGATAAGTTGTGCTATTTAAAGTTCCACCTGGAAATACAGTTCTTATTTTCCCTTCCAAGGATATGTACTTAAAGTACTTCTGATATGCAGAAGTTTTTGAGATTTACAATGACAAACACATTATGCAGTTAATGATATATATATATATGATATGGGCTTTTTGTTTGTTTTTCCTTACGGCTTTTAAGTTACCTCATTTTACATTTTCTTCTATACTTTATCATTGTCTGACAGGTTATTATGATCTTTCTGGCCAAAAAAGAACAATATTGATTTGAAAATTGGCAGGAGAAAACTTTTTGAGTGTTTGACTTTGTCCAATCCATTTCATTCTTCTCAAGGGACCCTGTGGGGTATGTTAGCTGGGAATTTTCCACAGTGAAAAATTCCAGCTTGATCTCCACTGAGGTAAGGGAATCACAAACAGTATATGCCCGCCATTAAAGGCTTAGGAAGTGATCAGGATTCTCTTCACTACTGTTAGAAAACACAGTTTCCAGTAAAGGAGGTGTGTGTGTGTGTGTGTGTGTGTGTGTGTGTGTGTGTGTAGGAGGCACATAAATAAGAATAAAGCAAACTATTGGTAGCAGCTAGGTAAGAATACACAACTATAGTTTCCGGGTTCTCTCTTTGAACCATATCAACTTAAAAACCCTCACTTAGGAAAGAACTCACACAGTCCTCGTTGTCCTCCCTATTGTAAATCCCACAGTGACATGCCCTGCTGGCGTACAGGGTCACAGTCACAGGGACCTTCCAAATCTGAAGGATGCCACTTTCTCTCTCTTCGTTTCTTTTAAAAATTTCTTTGAAGATATTTTGACATTCAGCTACTTGAAAACCTAAACCTGAACAAAACAACCTAATATTGGCTCTGTATGATGCCAGACTTTGGATTAAATTGAATGAAAAATATTGTAACTCAAAGGTGCTATAAAGCAGCGGACTAATGTACCTCAGAATTATTAGAAAATAATTACAGTTGTTTAAAATATCCCACCCAAAGATCAAATATCCTGAAAAAAACCCCTCATACTCTTTCTATAACTAGTTTGCATTTTGTGTAAAACGTTTCAGAAAATATGTAAACCACTGCTAGGCAAATGCAGCAACATATTAAATAGCTTTGCCTGATAAATATGATTTTGTATCAGTGAAGCAGAGTCTGAACTGAGGAAGAAAATTTGACAAAGAAGAGTATAATTCTTTGCCTTCTTGGGGAGTTGTGTAAGATTTCACTTCCTGCCTGGAATGAGTGGGAGGAGGAACGGATGGAATTTAGGATAACAATTTCTCATGATTTCCCATGATGAAAGAAAGGTTGCAAACATCTTTGGCTTACTTACCTCTTACTTCAGCATGTTGAGAAGTGGGTTGGCCTTGTTAGTTAAATGATCTCTACTCTGGGTTCACAATTCTCTGCTCCCTGTGGTGGAATAAGAGTAGTAATTCATTAAGTTGTTTTTCTTGGTAACAGTAGGTTTTTTGAGGTGGGAGGGGGCATCTGGATGAAAAACATAAAAAGAAATAAGCTTTCCCAGTGGAATAAACTCTTCAGAAAGACTGTGATGGAGACCAGGGATGAAAATCTCAAGAGCAAATTGTAAACTACTGGGAGAAACTTGCAACAAAGATTTAATGGTGTGTGTATAAGAGGGCCTCAGGCAGTTCAAAGCTTATTAGAGTAATACAAAGAGCAGGAACTGAAGAGAACAGGACAGACCAGCAGCGTACTGTTGTAGCAGCACCACAGCGCTCTAAGAAATGACCCACATAGTCATAGAAATACTTCCAGACGCTAAAACAAAAACTGGAATGCAGCTGTTCAGTTATGCAGAATGAGAACTGTATCCTTGGCAGCTTGGTAACAGAAAGGTTAAGTGAAGTGTTTTCAGGGAAGATGCTATTTTCTGAGCCCCTCACCTGCTCTTTGCCCCGACTCACCTCTCCAGGCACAAGACACTCAGTGGTGTTGTCAAGTATGCCAGAGAAGCTTGAGGTTTGGCTCTAGGTATTTTATTCCCTTTCACAGAGGGCTCTTCTCCAGACGTCCCTGTGGATGATGCTCTCACACATCAAGTCTGTGCTCAAAGACTGCTTTCCCCGAGACCTCCACAGTAGACCATGCCTCCAGCCTTTTCCTTCTACCCCAGAGGAACCCTTTGCTGCTCCCTCTACTCTGCTCTTCTCTGTCCACAGCAGTTCTGACCTTCTGACACACAGTGCATTCCAGTTATTATCAATCTGTTTTGCCATTTTCTCCCTTCTGATCCTAGATGGAAAGTTAAGACTCAAAAGGGCAAGGATTTTGTTTGGGTTGCTTTTATTCATTGATTGTCCACAACAACGTGATATAGTGCCTGACCTGTAAAAGATAAAAAACGTAATCAATTCAGACTTTTTAAATGGCTCATTGAAGGCTCGTGCAATCCACATGGACTGGGAAGTCAGCGGAGAGATTTCCATATACTGTACGTTGGCTTTTGCTGTAGTTAAGAGATACAGAAACAGGAAGCCCAGTAGACTAAGGTTTGTTTTGTTTCCCCGGTAGAAGAGCTATTTAGAAACTAGTCCTTTTACTACTCAGTTTGCAAAGTGTTTCCTGAGATTAGTATCTTGCATTTGAAATAATGTCTCACTTTTTTTTTCCCCTCCAAGGTCTACGATATGTGTTAACTCACTTTAACTGTATTTTTACAATAAGGACCTCAAAGCTCAGAAAGGAAAAAAGTTGCCCAATGTCCCACATTCATCAAATGTGATCACACAGTAGGATTCCCAGGTTCTTCGATTCTATGAGGTTGATCATTACGCAAAGGATTCATCAGTTAATCATTGCACAAAGGAAATCAATCAGTATTCAAAACATGTTTTTAAAACTTAAAATGAAACAGTATTTTTTTACATTGTTCGCTGAGGCCTCAAAGGCTAGAAAACTTAGCCTTTGTATGTAGATTTTTTTATTCTCTATTTCTTATGTAAGTGTTATCTTTGTGGAGAATAATCAACACTGAAATTTCGCCGTTATGTTTTAACTGTTTTCAGTTTTCAGCTATGAATTCTCAATATTAATTTGTGCTCTTTGTTATGTGTTTATCAGATCTTTTGTTGCTGGGATGCACAGCTGTTCACTGTAAAATTATTCTTTCAGTGTCAACCTTCAATCATTTATTTCTATTTTTCCCCTAGCAGCTGTTATGTGATTGTCCAGAAACTGCTACTTTTATGTTTAAAATTAAAAGAGCAAATACAAAATAAAAAGTTTACATGTGAAAAAGGATAATGAGATCACAAGAATATAAGTGCTGCTCCAAGAAATGAAAATATTGGAGCCCTGTAAAGGCTCACACACAGGGAGCCCGTAGGTACGCATGAATAATTAGACATAGAGTATAGCATGATTATTCTTATTTTCTAGATGAGAAAACAAGTTCTGGAAAGTTCTGTTGTGTGGGCAAGGTAGCTGCAGGGAGTGGACTGCACAGGTGAGATCAAATGAGTTTTGCACTGTGTTCAAACTGTGTGTGGTCTCTCTTCCATTTTTTGTTTCCTGAAATATTTGAGACATAACAAAAACTGCAGGGAAAGTGAAGACTTATGTGTTCATGATCTACGCTTAAAAAAACAGAGTATGATGAAAATTGTTAGATCCCTAATTATATCTGCCAATCCTGTTCCTCTGCTTTTCCTTCTGAATTCTAAACTTATGTCTATAGTTTGCATTTATATATGTGAATGTTTACTATATACTAAAGGATGTAATAAAAATCTGATGCCTCTATTTACAAAATATTACACTAAGAACACTTCGGCGTTCATTCTCAGCAAAGCGTTACTCCCCTCACTTCTGCTACTCTTGTCTCATCCTTTTTGCCTCTTTTCGAAGCCCTCTTGCAAGTCCTCTTTTGCAACTCTAGGGGTGTGATCAAAAAGATGATGAGCACTGCAGCCAAGTGACATCCGAGGCAAAGCAGGTTCCTGAAAACCTGGCGCCACCGGTCACCCACCTTGCCCACCAGACCTGGCGCTGTGCAACTCCGGGCTCTTCCCCCAGGTCAGAACTACAGTGAAAGACCAATGTTTTCAATCAACTCAGGCCAGGAAGTGGCCAGGATAGACCAGCCAGAGATACTTGGGAAAGAGGACTCCCAGAACTGCTTCAGAAAGTGGCAAGAATGAGACAAGGGTGTTAAGCAAGGCGGAATGTTGGGGAGGGGGGATTAATGGCAGGGTGTCTCTCTTGTAAGGATTTTTAAAATTTAAGCATTCACCATAGTTTTCAATCACATCTCTTATGCATGCCTCGAAGCAGTGTTCAGGGAAACATTTAGTGATATTTGATGTGCTTCAAAATTGTAAGACTTCTGTGACATTTTACATTAACTCAACATTATTTTTATTGCCTTAGAATATTCCTTTGAATTTAGCCCAATGTTTGGGTCCATCTTGTTTTGATAGATGTTTAGGTTATTTCCAAGTTTTACGATGCAATGCCTTTTAATTGTGACAAGTTGATGGGATATTATCTCTAATTATCTTTTTAATTGACATTTCCCTGTGTAGTGTGGATGTGGAATATTTTTATATATTAATTGGCAATTTATATTTACTTCACCATGTATTGCCATGTATTTTGACTTCTTCACTTTCTGAGTGGTTTATCCTTTTTGTATTAATTATTGAGTGATCATAATTGTGATGATCTTTGAGCTATCTTTCTGAATTCACTTTTCTACGTGTCGTATCTTTTGATGTACAGACACTTTTGGTGCCCTTCTTCTTATGTTATTATTATTATTTTTGTAGTGGAGTTGAGCCTAGTTTTTCACACGTTAAGTTGAAAATTTTTTTTCTGTTAATTGTCTATTTCTGTCCCTTGCCAACATGCCACTTTCCTGTATTTTTCTCTCCATTTTTTAAACTTAAGGGCTGAATTTCATACATTATTTTTTTTTAAATTTGTTTTCTGACTTTTTTTTGCTACAGAAGATGAATTTTTATGGAGTACAATTTATCAGTATTTTTTGGTTTTAAAATTTGAATTGTTTGAAAAGCTTGGTTTAGTCTAACGTTATTAAATAGACTAAATTTAGTTAGGATTTATTCCTTTTTTTCTGTAATCTTATGCTTTACATTTAAATCTTATATCCTTTGGCCACGTAGCCTTATCTTGGCTACTAAGTTGTCCTGACTACTAAGTTGTTATAACACCACTTATTAAAATTTTATCTTTATGTCACTCATTTAAGATGCCACTGAATTATGTAATGGAACTTATTCTTCAACTTTTTATTATGTTCCACTGGTTGGTTTATTTATGTGCCACTACTGTACTATTTTTATGATCAAGGATTTAAAATATAAAATATTTAGTTCTTTCTTATTGCCTACTTTTTCCATAAGTTTACTAAGTCTCCCTTGCTTTTTAGTTTTTCTGTAAGAAATTTACTATTAGGTTTGGTCATTACTTTTAAAAAATTCCCTTGAAAATTTATTGATATTGGTTGAATTTGAAAGTTAACAGGTAGAATTAATAGAATGATGTATCATGCCATGTAAAAACATGGGTTAACATATTTTAAAAAATTACCTTCAGATATTTTAATAATATTTATTTTTGAATGTAAATTATGGATTTAAAAAGTTATGTTTCATATTATTTTGGGAATAACTTTTTACTCTTATTTTTGTTGCTCTTTTTTGATTTTTCTATTTATTATTATTGCTTATATAAATGCCGACTATTAACACCTGCATATTAATTTGAGACCTTACTACCTTACTGAATTCTTTTATTGCCTATCATTTAAAGTACACTGTCTTGGGGCTTTCAGCTACAAAATGTATCGCCTGCAAATACTGATAGTTTTGTTTTCATATAATTCCTTTTTATTTTTATTGAATTGACTAATATTTCATGATAATGAATGTGCATGACTTTTCCTAAGTGCAAGTAATCCCAATCTTTTACCTTTTTTTTGTGTAGATGTACACTACGAGTAAGTAATATACACACACATATCTTCACACGTAAGTATGTATCATGGACACATGTTAAATGTAAGTACTTTTATGATACATATTTTTATACTAGGTAAATAGACGTTTTATCTGTACACTTCTGTATACTGTATGTGCTGAGATGAGTTTATATGTGCATGTGTTAAGAATATATATATGTATATATATACCAGATCCTGCTTAATTTTAACAGGCATTGTTATAGAAATTTTTGACATCAATGGAGCAGTGATACTTCTCCTTCAATCTTGTAGTGTAATGAGTTATGTTAATTGACTTCCCAATACTCAATTCTCTTTGAATGCTTGGGATTTTTCTTTTGGTACAATTGTACTGGTTTTTTTTTTTCCTGGTACCAGGAATCCAGTTCAGGACGTCGTGCTTGCCAGGCAGACCCTATGGCCCTGAGCTACTCCCTCAGCCTCTTTTGTATTTTTAAAAAAGTGATTTTGGATTTCAGTTGCCATACTTTATGTTCTGATATTTGTAAGTGGTTTGGATCAGAGCCAATAATCCAGTTTGTTTAATTATGGACTTTTTCTTTGGTTTTCCTGAATTTTATGGTTAATTTGAATGTAATCTTTAAACTCATTTAGGGAGACCTCAGGGGAGCAAATTTTACCAGGTCCTTTTTTGTAACTGGTGTTCAGTGTGAATTTTATGTGCAGATATCATTTAAACTTAAGTATCATGAAGGCCACAGCCTTGTCTCCTACCCTTGCATGCCTTTTAAGACTCGATAAAGTTACCTGAGATTACTTCAGTGTATAAAGAAATATTTGTGTGAGAAAGAGAGAGAGAGAGAGAGAGAGAGAGAGAGAGAGAGAGAGAGAGAAAGAGAGAAAGAAAATAACCTAGAGAAAGGGCACAGTGCCTTTTACAATCTAGTTGCAGAGTGATAAACCATTATTTCCTCCTTATTGAATTGGTCAGAGAAAAATGCTAGCAGATTGTGGAAGAGACTGCACAAGGTGCTAAGACCAGGGATTGGGGATCATTTGGAGCTGTAAATTTGTATTAATTCTGGTCTGTACTGACGGTTTTGACAGCACAGGTACAATAAAATTAGATGCCAGAATAGATACCTGAGAGTGTTACAGGATATCTAAAGAGAAAAGAAAATATAAATAGAAGGTTTTTAGTTTTGCATACAAACTTTTATTTAGCTACTAGTGGACTTGATTGTTTAAAAAGAATAATTTCACCATGATTTTGGATCCTGAGGGAATAAACTACTCATATGTCAACATGAAAGATATTTTAGGATCACTGAAGAAGAGTAGAGAGTCAAAAATTTTTGAAGTGTATTAATGTAAACTCTTCTGACAAGAGTTCAGAACAGTTCTGTTTTCCAAAAGTGAGACCAATAAGCTGAATTTAGGGTTTATCGCTTTCAGAATTATAGTAGAGGGGCTGGCAGTTTAGTTCAGTAATGCAGTGTTTGCCTGGCAAATGTGAGGTCCTGAATTTGATTCCTTACCAAAAAAAGAATTGTAGTAGAGAAACAGAGATAATTTTCTGAACCCTTTAGAATTTCACCATCTCTGCTAAGTACGCTGTCAATGAACTAATCACTAATTGTTTTCTTAAAGAAAGTCCAAACTGCAGGATGGCTAAGTTGGCTAATGATGGCTCTCTATTCTCGATGGAGTATTTCCTGCCTCATTTCTATTTCATTTTTGAACGACTATCTGCCCTCTGAAAAAGCTGCTATCTGCTTTGTGAAAAGTGAGAACTAAATTTCCAAGATGGCTTTCTGATGATACATTAAAATTTGTTAAGGCCTGTAGGAATAAGTAATCATATCAACATATCAACTCCAATAATCACAGGTAATGTCCTGTTCAAAGGCCATCACATTTAGAAAACTTCAGCTATCCTTTACCAAATAAAATTGCAATACAACTTGAATTCCTATCCTTTCCAACTGCTTATTTTGGAAAAGACAAATTTTTGAAATATTGTCCAAGATTCACACATATATGGTAGTTAGATGCTTTTTCTTTGCAAAATGATGGTGGCTAAGATATCCTTCTATGAAGCCTCCCTAAGTAAACCCTGAAAACCATTTATACTATGTCTATTTATGTATAAAGTTAATCAATTATTAAAAATTGTTGAGCACCTACATGTGTCAAATGTCCTAGATTCTAGTCACACAGGGGAAAAATTCCTATCTATATTTAGCAAACCAACATGTAACCTTTGATCATGAAATTTTATCTTTGGCAAAGATAAAATCATACTGACAAAAATACAAAGTGTCATACACATGAATACATGAAAATATCACAGTACTGTAATAATATGAGTCAACTCAAATGCCCCATTGGTTGAAGAATGATTGAAGAAAACCTGAAATATCTACCTAGTGGATTACTTTGTAGGCACATAAACAGAATGAGGAAGATTTCTACACATTAATATTTGGCCTCTCAGTATGCATTGCTAAGTTGAAAAAGTTTGATGAGCTTGTAGTATTTGAAAAACACTATGTTTATTTATTTATTTATTTATTTAATTTTTTTTTATTATCGGTATTGGGGATCAAACTCATGACCGCATGCTTGCAAGGCAGGCGCTTATGCCACTGAGCTAAGTCCCTGCCCCCCAACACTATGCTTATTATAAGTAAACAAGCAGATTATGAAGTCCAAATTGCATATATTTGTTTGGACTTTCAGGAACAATGGAAAAATAATGAAACTAATATTCTTATCTACAGGGAGAGACAGGAAACAAAATGCTGAAGTCAAATATAGAGGTGTGATGTCAGTAAATGTGCTTTGTATTACAGGTTTGACTTTGCTTTATGTAATTAAAAACAGTCAGGTGTGGTGGCACGTACCTGCAATCCCAGCACTCAGTTGGCTGCAGGAGGATCGCCATGAGTTTGAGGCCAACCTGGGTTACATAGTGAGTTCAAAAGCAACCCGAACTATATAGTGAGACCTTGTCTCAAGAAAAAAGTGTAATTTGAAACAGTACTAAATGAAATATCCCTAAAGATAAAAAACAGTTAATAATGACTCAAATTGTACTCAGCAACACTGAAAGATTGGTGGCATAACTAATTCTATCAGGTTATTTTAAAATGGCATTTGCTCATGTATTTCTAGTAGAATTGTGGTAAATGAAATGCAAGGAAAAAAATCTCTTACCCTGCAACGAAGAGCCTTATTGTTAGTGGTGGTGCTATTTGACATTAAAGTATATGCAGGATAAAGCAATAAGTTATGCCAGTACTTCAGAAACTGAGTTATCATACAAGAGAAAAACAAGTATTAAAATAGTAAAACACTTTGTGATTTTATATTTAAACTGGAAATATCAGCAGCAAGCTTTCATGAGTTCACCACCCACTCATCCAAATGAAACATCCCACTAATTTCCCAGTTTGGTTTTTGAAAAGGCATAGGAAGCATAATCTAAGATCCTAAAAATACCATTTGCCACCAAAAGCAAAAATGGCTGATTGTAGCTCAGAAGCAGAACATGTTCAAGATAAGCTTGGGCATCTTGTTGGGCAGAAAATCATCACACTACCAAATACTAATGTCGTGTTTATTGGATGCACAGTCTCCTTGATGGAGTCCCATTGGCCTAAAGTGACACAACTCAAGCATGCAAAAAATAATGACTATGGTGGATTAAAGCAGGCAAATACATAAAATTTGTGCCAAGCCACATCAAAGTAATAATATCAAACAAATTAAACCCTGTGGAGTCTGCACTGGGATTTTCTGGAAGAACCAATACATTACTCTGACAACAAAAGAGCTATTTCTTTTTTATATCTGAATAATAGCTGATGCAAGAAAGATTTTTTTTAAATAAATTAATTCTATATAGTGCATGCAAAAAAGGTGATAGAATAAGATAATTTATGTAGGTATCGCCAATTAAAAGATGCTACACTATCACATCAACTTTTGAGAGGGAAGTTCATAATGCTGGAATCAGGCCAAGATCATTTTTATGCTCTAAATGTTTGAGCATCATTAACCAGGTATCAACCAGTGACTTGGGGCCTCACCATGTGGTACAGCAGGAAGTAACAGAGATTTCTTGCCTATAACAATGTCAATCTAATTGGACTTCTGCTTGTACTGGTGTATGGATGCATTTAATGGAAGATTCCTCAAGAAAATAGGAAAAATCCAGATTGCGGATCATGCTAGAAGACAAGTGTTTCAGCTTTCGCATCAAATCAACAGCAATGGTAAAAGGCACAGATTTCAGAGGCAAAAAGCCAAATACATTATATTGAACCTGTTAAGATCCCAATCTGAAAAAGTTAAATGTGAGTAGTGATTGTTGAGATAAGTGGAACAAGCTGAAAACAATGTAATAAATGACATGATGGTGTTATTAATTCAATTTAATGAAATAATGTATTATGATTTAAAAATTACGAGACAGGTAGAGATACATACTTGAGAATCTACAGATAAAATAATAGGAAATTGTCTTTAAAGAATTTCTTTGAAATGTTTCAAGGACATAAAATTTTATAGAGAAACAGAGGAAACAAGGTTGGCCAATAGTAAATGTTGTTGAAGCTTAAGTGACTGGGAGTTTATTACAATATTCTTTACTTTGTGTGTCTTAAACCTATATTAAACCTGCTTTCATGGACCTTACATTTCGGTACAGCATTCACACAACAACAAAACATCAAGAAAAATTCTGGCACAGTTTAAAATCACAGTAAGAGCTCTGCAGGAGTAAACAACAATCAAACATGGAGGGCTGGGAAATGTAGGACAGAGATACGCAATTTTTGATACAGTGGCCACAAAGGTCATCTTGAGAGAGGGATAACTGAGCAAAGACCTGGAGGAAGTAAGGTAGGAAGCCATCCAGACCCTCAGGGGAGTAGCATTCCACAAGGGTGTAAGGTAGGGATACAGTGGTGTAGGGAGCAAACCTGAGGCAAATGTGTGCAATCCCCGAGTGAGGGGTTTGACTAATGAGAGCTGAGGTCAGAGAGGGAGGAGTCGAAGGAGGATGTGAGCTAGTACTAGATCATATAGAGTAGTTTTCAATCCATCATCAAGTAAAATTATAGGCAAGGCTGACATGATGGTTCATCTCAATTATCAGTTTAACTGGATTAAGATACTCCTGGAGAGGTGATGGATTGTAAACAACTAACCTTAACAATAGCTTACCTCATTGTTGAGTGTCTCGCTGGATGCATTACTAGGAGGAGAGAACTAGTTGGAGGAAGTGGGATATGGGAGGGTGACTTTGTGTGAAAGTATCTGTTCCCCGCCCCTTTTTCTGTGGTTCCTTCCTTGTGGTGGGCCACAGAGTAAGCAGCTTTCTCCACCATGCCCTTTTGCCTTGTTGTTCTGTCTCAGCTCAGACTCACAGCAATGGGACCAGCAAACCATGAACTGAATCCTCTGAAGCCATGAACCCAATGAATCATTTCCTCCTGTGTGTTGTGTATGTTAGGCATTTTTACCCAGTAACAAGGAAGCTGTCCAAGACAACAAAATTCTCCTGTTGCTTTCAACTGTACAAACTGCAAGTTTGCAGACCTATATTTGAGACCTATATTATAATATAGACTTAAGGAATTATTTTGGTAAGATATATTGATGCTTCCAAAGGGGAATGCTTAGCTATTAATATTAAAAGATTTATACAGCATAATGTGATTAGAACAAGGTAAGCCTTAGATTCAATAGGGAAGAAATCCTTGTAGAAAGAGAATTTAAAATTCTGCCATTCAAGATTGCACTCCATGTAGCTGTTTCTTGCTACCCCAAGTAGCGTCAGTGACACTGTTCCCTACGCAGTCTATGAACTCCCAGGGGAGATGACTTTGCCTCAGCCTACAAGGGGAGGAAGAGTAATTGTGCCTAGGGCTCTCAGGTCTCAACAGGGACAACAGCTTTATATGTGCTATTGTCTTGTTTGCTCAGAGGAGAGAGTCAGAGGTCCCCTTTTTATGAGCCTCACTTTAACTCACCATTCTATGTAAATTACATTGCCAGCAAGTATCTATTTCTTATATTTCACATAATTTCTAGCTTCTACATTTTTAAGTCATGCAAGTCTTTTTGAATATTTTAGCTGATGTTGATTTGTCTCCCTTAATTTAGAAAAGAGTCTGATAAGCAAAAGAAAGTCGTATTACAAACAGCCAGGCCACCACAAAAGAAAGTTTCCAAAAGAATGCTAAAAATGTGGGTGTTATAAAATATTTCTTTATCCTTTGCATTCTTCCCAATTTTACCAATGCCATAGAATTATCTGAGACTATGAATGTTGTTATTATTGTTCTTGTTGACTCATTAGCTACACAAATGCTCGATGATTTTGGCTGTGTGATGGATGATTCTATAGTTTCCTAAACATTTTTCTAGAGTTAGAAGATAGTGTGGTCTTCAGGCACAGTATGGAATTCCATGATTTAGACCTGATATGATCATGAAAAGCCCCAGGGCATTCTAGGAAGAAGAACTGAAGACAGTATT